TTACTTGAACTTGATTACAAACAGGTGGCATTGATGGAAAACAGGCAACTATCTCAGCCACTGTGCATACTTAGACTACATATTAAAAGGTATCAGCAAAATGCTTTCTATATAAATGGCATACAACTGTATATAACAGTTTGGAATGAACAGATATATACATATTGTTGATAGATATGAGGAGGTGCTGAAATTACTTCCCAAAATTTGATCAAATGATTAAACAATTTTTTAAAAATTTTTTTCTTGGTCAAGTTGAAAATATTTTAGCACCCCTTTATCGAAAGGAACTGGGGCTGAGAGATGTAAACAGAACAAGAATGCTGAAGAGCAACTTAGGCTAGAATATAGATAGATAGATAGACATGAAGAGAAGATAGATAGATAGATAGATAGATAGATAGATAGATAGATAGATAGATAGATCTGTTCATATCTATCTAATCTGTTCATATCTATTCATAGATAGATAGTTAAATACATAGATAGATATGAACAGATTAAGATAGATAGATAGATTAGATAGACAGATATGAACAGAATAAGATAAATAGATAGATATGAACAGAATAAGATAGATATGAACAGGATAGATAGATAGATAGATAGATAGATAGATAGATAGATAGATAGATAGATATGAACAGAATAAGATAGATATGAACAGAATAGATAGATAGATAGATAGATATGAACAGAATAAGATAGATATGAACAGAATAGATAGATAGATAGATAGATAGATAGATAGATAGATAGATAGATAGATAGATAGATAGATATAAACAGAGACTGAGATAGAAAAATAGATATTAACAGAATAAGATAGATAGATATGAACAGAAGATAGATAGTTAGATAGATATAAACAGAATAAGATAAATAGATAGATATGAACAGAGACTGAGATAGATAGATATGAACAGAAAAAGATAGACAGGCAGAAAGACATACATGAACAGAACAAGATAGACAGATAGATAGAGAGAAAGAGAAATTGATAGACATTAACAGAAAAAGGTAGATAGATATGAACAGACTGGGAGAGAGAGAGAGAGAGAGAGAGAGAGAGAGAGAGAGAGAGATATGAACAGACCAAGATAGATTAATAGATCAGAAGTATCAAGGTTTGATAGACAGAGACAATGGATAAAGATTATGAATCCACCGAGGGAAACCCTGATACTGTGCAGACTGAAGCTGATAGGTAGAGATGTGTATGTGTATGTGTGTGTTTGTGTGTGTGTTTGTGTGTGTGTTTATGCATTTGCATGTATGTATGTGTGTGTTTGCATTTGCATATATGTATCTGTGTGTATGTGCATTTGCATGTGTGTGTGCATGTGCGTAACTCAAGATATATAATTGTTTAAAGCATTTGTGCCACTCGCTGCAATTAATTATTTTACTTTCTATTACTCATGCAGACCCCCCCCCACTGTCTGATAATTTGAAATGTAAACATCATTCAACTGACATATGTAAATAGGTACAGATGTAGATGAGGAATGCTTCCACCAAATTTTTTTCTAGGTAATCACGTGGAAGAATGAAATTTGCTTTTCTTTTAATACTTCGTTAGCTGCTTCAAAGAGCATTTTATCAGGTCATTATACCTGTAACCGCCGACATACACATACTGGAGTTTAAATATATAAATACTTAAACATATCACATACACATATACAATCTCTTACAAATGCATGGATGCTTAGATGATGGGGATGCTGAGAGGCTCTTTGCTGACCCAATTCAACCCTTTTTCTCACAGATGAAACATTGAAAACCCCTTGCTATTCCATTGCTATTTCAAGAGAAAATGTTCTGATAAACTTCGTTCCATCAGTTCAGACCTTTACAGTCACAACGCACTATGCCACATACACAGGGTTGAATCATCTGAATTGCCTTCTTATTCCATTAGTAAGAAAGAAGTTCCATTCAGACAGCCTCTTCTCAAGAACTTCTATCTTGTAGAACAGACTCCCAAGTGGATGCTTTCCCGACATCTACAATACTAATTCTTTCGAGTTCAGCCTCAACCATTATCTATCCTACATATTCTCATAATCTGGACTTATTTCAACCTATTACATCCGTGGGGATTACAGCTATATCATGTGAAAACACTGATTCACATAAGATCACTGAAGCAACACGAAGCTTGGTCAGTACCTAGATGGGTGACCACTTAGGTGTAACAGGTACTGTAACCTTTAATATGCAAGTGGTGTAATGGATAATGGCTAAGAATTGGAAATTGGAGAGCCAAGTCACAGATCCAATCACATAATGTAATACACTTATACACAGGCACAGATACATAATGTAATACACTTATACACACAGATACATAAGTTAATACACTTATACACGCAGAGATACACAATATGAAATGGACAAAGTCCAACAATTATTTTAAGACATTTTTATGTTCATACATTCTTTTTATAGATGGTATTTATCAATTCACCCACAGGAATTGAATGTGGCACAAGGCCTTTTTAATGTGGGTATGTCTGAGCCCATAGGACCAGCCAAAAATAAAACCCATCTAAACCCGTCCAAGCAGGCTAGTTCCGTCAACCTCCCCGAACGAAACCCCACCCTTCGGTGGAGTTCCGTCCGGGTTCCTCACTGCAAGCAGAGAGTTCGACAGACACCCGACCCGGCAGCTCACAAAGCTCAGATACTACACTTTGATCCTAGCCACCAGGCCGAGCGGGTATTCCTTTTAGAAATACAAATATTTAAGTAAATTCCCTGTTTATAATAAACAGTATTAAACAACATTTACTGGCCTGAATGTCCGAGAAATTTTCACAGAAGCTAAATGACGGTTTCGTATAGGATACAGGTTCAAATCCTGTCGGAGGATGAATATTTTATGCGAAAATTTCTCAGACATTCAGGCTGGTAAATGTTGTTTAATACTGTTTATTATAAACAGAGCATTTACTTAAATATTTGTATCTATAAAAAGAATGTATAAACATAAAAATGTCTTAAAATAATTGTCAGACTTTGTCCATTTCATAACATGTGATGTCATTTGTTTACATTTGGATGCACTTTGAGCAGATATGAATGTACATGAGAGATTCATGGAAAATTGAAGTTTAAAGACAGTAAATTCGACCTTGCTAACTGAACGCTCCTCTGTAGCCAAATCGTTTAAGGCACGTCAAACTAAATGATGGTTCCATATAGGATACAGGTTCGAATCCTGTCGGAGGATGAATATTTTCTGTGAAAATTTCTTTGACATTCACGCCGGTAAATGTTGTTTAATACTGTTTATAAATAGAGCATATATAATAATAATATATAATATAATGTACTTATACACACAGATACATAGTGTAATACACTTATACACACATATACATAATGTAATACACTTATGCACACATATACACAATATAATACACTTATACACATACAGACACATAATGTAATACACTTATGCACATACAGACACATAATGTAATACACTTATACACACAGACACATAATATAATACACTCATAGCACACAGACACACAAGCACATAATGTGATACACTCATAACACACACACAGACGTAATGGAATACACTTTTTAGTAAAAAAAAAGATAAAATTGATAAGAAATGTTTCTTTTAGGAGAAAAATTCTTGGAATTTTACAAATTAATTGAAAAACTGCTGCATTCTCCTTTTTCAAACATCTAAAAAAGTTGTTGTTCTTGGCAAAAATGGACTGATTATTCATGCATAGGATTTTAAAGTTTATGGTTAACTAAATCTCATTAATTAAATCAACCTTTTATTAATCTATTATATGTGCATGTGTCTGTGTGTGTGTGCATGTATGCTTGTGCATGTCTGTGTATGTATGTGTCTGCATGCATGTGTATGTGTGTGTGTCTGTGTGTGTGTGTGTGTGTGTGTATTAGCATGTATGTGTGTGTGTGTGAGGGTAGATCAACCTGACATTTAACTTTTTACAAAATTTTAATCTGAAATTTTCATTGTATAATGTTTAATCTATCTTTTAAATATTCACTATTCTCTACTGAATTAAGTGCTTTGACAAAGAAGGAGATCATGTTGAAAAATAAATATTTGTTGTGTAAAAAGTAGTTTTTGTAATCATTAGGCTTCTTGAAAACCCTACATGTGTATACTTATATAAAGTTTTCATTTATTTACTTTGTGTGTGTGTGTGTGTGTGATTAATTGAGTCATTCATTTTTTACAGCTTACCAACCCATTACAAGTTATTTAACCCCTTGTGACCTCACCACCCCTTTACCGGTGGTAGAGAAAAATGACATAATGCCCAGTCACCGGTTGAATGGTTGGTAAACACTTGTAACTATTTTTATATCTACCGTGAAACATTACATAGCAATTATTTGCAAATTTTGACTCAGGGGCCCAGGCAGAAGAAGAGTTAAAATTGTTCAGGAATTCAGGGCTATAAGGGTTAAAGTGAGAAAAAATTTTTAGATTGTAAGAATATTTTTTTATTAATTAACCCATACCTAAGGGGAGAAGAAGTGGATTCATGCCTAATCAGAATTTTATAAGCAAACAAGAAATTATAATATGGATATAAAGTAGGCAACCAATTTTATATTACAATCAATACATAAGCTGATCCCTCACTTTGTGGTCACTGTAGTTTCTATACATTTATATTCCAGAGAATGTAAATAACCCTAGAAGACATGCCCACATAGCTAAACAGTATTTCATTGATTGAGTGATTTGTTTTTTATGGCTTATCAACCCTTTGCAGGTTATTTAAAGCCAGAAAATGTTTTTAGATTGTAAGAATTTCTTTTGAGATAATAATGATTTAGTGATACAAGTCTTACTAATTAATCCATAGCTTGGGGTAGAAGAGGTGGATTCATAGCTTTCTCAAGGGTATTTGCATGTAAGTGAATATAACAAACCTGACTGGAATTTCCAATTCTGAGCCATTATCCATTACACCACCCACACATCCAAGCTTACAGTTCCTGGCATTCCCAAGCAGTCACCCATCTAGGTACTGACCAGACTCAATGTAGCTTAACTTTTGTGATCATATGAGAACTGGTGTTTCGGTGTGATATGGCCGTAAGCCATGTGTGTATATGCGGGGATCAGTATGTATATGTCGATATGAATGTGTGCCTGTGTGTGTGTGTGTGTGTGTGTGTGTGTGTGTGTGCATATATGTGTGTGTGTGGGGCAGATCAATAAGTTTACAACCTGACATCTAGTTCTTTGCTGAATTTTGTTCTGAAATTTTCACTGTATAATGTTCAATCTATGTGATTAATATTCATTCTGAATTAAGTGCATTGACAAAGAAGGAGATCATGTTGAAAAATACATATTTGTTATTTAAAAGTTTTTTTTTTACCATTAGGCTTACTAACAATCTTATATATAATAGCTGGCTGCTCATATCTGATTCTCAGTTAGTCAATCCCTGTTGCATACGCCTGCTCAGGCACATTTGTGTTTGTTCAACACCAACAGAGCACACCTGTGGTTTATATTGCAGCTATGTGAAGTGGACCTGAGTTACAGTTTGCATCATCTGGTATGATAAACAGTTTGAACAATACTTTCTTTATGTGTCATGTCCCCTCAGGTTGTAGGCGATCATGGCTCTCCACAACCTCCTGTACCTTGTAGCACTTAATAAACTTTGTTTTTCTGTTATTTCTCCTAAATCCTGTTCTGCCGTCTATTTACGCAAGCTCAAGATCACTAAGTATGTTATGCTTGTCTTGGTCTCTCTTGGCTTCTGTATGTCCTGTGAGTATCATATTCTCCAAGCCCTATTTCCTTATAATGTGCCCTAGAAGTTTCAATCGTCACTTTCTCATGTGAAGTATTAGTTTTCTTTTTGTTTTTATTTTCTCCAAAACTTTGTTGTTGCTCACATGTTTGGTACAAAGTAACCTCAGTATCCTTCTGTAGAACCACATTTTTGTTGATTCAAGTCTCCTCTTCACCTTTGAGAAGATTGTCTAGCACTCACTGCTATACAGAAGGACAGATATAACTTAACTGTTTAGTACTTTTCCTTGTTTTTAGCAAAATTTTCCAATTTCTTAGTACTCTGCTTTTGTAATGCTTCCTTAGTTATACCAATATACCTTTGGAGTAAAACAATTGATGAACAATTTTGTCTACCTAATTTCTCCCACAAGGCTTCACCTGACATTGTTTTCAGGCACCTTCCCTATATGCTGGAATCACCTCCTCAGGTTCATAACATCAAAAAGTTCTCTTTCTGATCAATCAACCATGATGAGATTTGAACCAGAGTCTCATGGTTGGAAAGAAAAGATTCTAATCATTTAATAGAGAGGTCGGCAACCTACAGCATACATGCCACATGTAGCATAACAAGCAATTTCCAATGGCACACAGCTGCAAATGAGATCACGAACCAATAACTACTACAATGCAAAGAAGATATTTAGCTGTTTCAATTTTAATATATACTAAAGTATATATTTTAAGACATTTTTATGTTTATACATTCTTTTTATAGATACAAATATTTAAGTAAATGCTCTGTTTATAATAAACAGTATTAATAACATTTACCGGCCTGAATGTCTGAGAAATTTTCATAGAAAATATTCGTCCCCCGACAGGAATCGAGCCTCTATTCTACATGGAACCATCATATAGTCTGACATGCCTTTAACTGTTTCAGTCACGGAGGATCGTTCAATTAGCAAGGTCAATTTTACTGTCTTTAAACTACAATCTTCCATGATTCTCGCACGTACATTCATATCTGCTCATGGCATATCCAAATGTAAACAAATGACGTCACACATTATGAAATGGACAAAGTCTGACAATTATTTTAAGACATCTTTATGTTTATACATTCTTTTTATAGATACAAATATTTAAGTAAATGCTTTGTTTATAATAAACAGTATTAAACAACATTTACCGGCCTGAATGTCTGAGAAATTTTCATAGAAAATATTTGTCCTCTGACAGGATTCGAACCTGTATCCTATACGGAACTGTCATGAGATATGAATGTATGTGAGAGAATCATGGAAGATTGTAGTTAAAAGACAGTAAAAATCGACCTTGCTAACCTAATGCTCCTCTGTAGCCAGCTAATTCGGTTAAAGGCATGTCAGGCTATATGACAGTTCCGCATAGGATACATGTTCAATTCCTGTTGGAGGGACACATATTTTCTATGGACTCTACCAGCTATAAATAGGAGCAGGTACTGCCTTTTTGGTAAGGGAAGTTTCCAGCAGTCAGCTCTGACAGTCGGACTGAACATTCTTGCTGTAACACTCTTGTTTGTATATGTTTATATTACTGTTTCTGTTTATATATTTGTTTAACTCAATTCCTCCCTTTGTGTCTTTATTTCTGGCCCTAACAAGGCCACAACAGTTATCTTCCAGTAATTTATAAGTTAACATGTTTTGCTAAGCATAAATTATCTTTGTTATATATAAATGCCTGTGTCTATCTGTATTCATAAGTGTGTGTGTCTGTAATAACTGTTTTGGAATCATTTAGTATTTTATTTTTTTATTTCACTCCAAACAAGTCAATAAAGCCACTAAGATGCAAGGGGTTACTGGGGATTAAAGACAAGAGAGTGAAGGAAATTGAAAAAATGTTACTGAGGAGAAAGGACAGGATTAAAGAAGACAGAAGATGACGATTGACATTGCATTTAAATTTTTGAAGATTGAAGTTGACAGGAATGTAACGAGTAAGTTTTAGAGAAAAACAGAAACAAAAAGAACACTTAGTGTTGATTTTAGAAAGAAACCATTGAAATTTATAGGGCATGTAATGAGGAAAGAGGGCTTGGAAAATTTGACACTCACAGGACATATTGAAGGCAAGAGGGACAGAAGAAAACAATTCATATACTACCTAATAGGCTTGTATAAATGGTTTGCAGAACAGGGATTAGGAGAGATAGCGAAAAGACAAAATTTACTAAAAGCTATGAACGAAAAGAAATTGTGGAGAGCCATGATCGTTCACATCCTGAAGAGACATATAGAAGAAGAACAGGCTTGTGTAAATGATTTGCAAAACAGGGATTAGGAGAAATAACAAAATAACAAAATTCACTAAGAGCTAAAATGACTGAAGTTGTGGAGAGCCATGATCACCAATGTCCTGAAGGGACACAGCACATAGAAGAAGAAGAAAAATGAGCTTGTGTAAATGGATGGCAGAACAGGGTTTAGGAGAGATAAAAAAATGACAAAATTTACTAAGAACTACAAAAGACAAGAAATTGTGGAGAGCCATGATCTCAAATGTCTTGAAGGAACATGACATATAGAAGAAGAAAAATGATCTTGTGTAAATGGATGGCAGAGCAGGGTTTATGAGAGATAACAAAGGGTAAAATTTACTAAGAGTTACAAAGGACAGGAAATTGTGGAGAGCCATGATCACAAATGTCTTGAAGGAACATGACATATAGAAGAAGAAAAATGATCTTGTGTAAATGGATGGCAGAGCAGGGTTTAGGAGAGATAACAAAGGGTAAAATTTACTAAGAGCTACAAAGGACAGGAAATTGTGGAGAGCCATGATCACCCATGTCCTGAAGGGACATGGCACATAGAAGAAGTGAAAAGAAAAGCAGGAAACTGGAAGAGGTTCCATAAATGAAAAGTATGTCTTCTCTTCAGAATCTCATCTCAACTTTAATTTCCACCAAAACCAACCACTCTGTCGGCTGGGAGTTCAGGATATGCTGACTGCACCTCTGCAGAAGGGCAAAACCCCACCATTGAGACATCCTGGATATGATGATAAACTACATCCGGCAGCAAGGCCTCTGATTGGGAGGTTTTGTCAAGGGTGGAACCACTTATTAATTGATATTGTTCCCAGATCCACCCTGACCTGGGGTGGTAGCACCTGTTATGGTCCCAGCTATTATAAAATAGTTAACACCAAACTGGGTTCAAAACACTATGAAAGTATAAAAATAGATTTTTATAGTAAAAATAGCAGCAATACATTTAAAAAAAAATATTAATATGTATTTTATTCATACAAACATATCCTAAGAATCTTGTCAGCATTAAATAACCCATTGAGGTGTTGATGTACCATAAAGCAAAATAAATCCAAACTAACATTATTTGGACTATTGTCCTCATCTTTGTTGCCATATTTATTACAATGTTTCAGCCGTTGTACACTCCGGCCTTCTTCAAGTGGTTGGAATGTTGAACAGAACCCTTTATTTCGCTCACTGGGGTAGACTGTTCTAGTTCCACGTGCCATGTTTAATGGATGTCAGTTATCAGTTATCTCCTGTTAATTTCCCTCTGAAAATTCTCCATTGCCTTAACCAGGTATTGAACTCACACTCTTTGGGTCCTGTCACTGGATCTAACTAATGCCTTTATCCACTGTGCCATGTGTCCTGTTGTAATAAATATGGCTACAAAGATGAGGACAATAGTCCGAATAATATAAATAGTGTACATAATACCTCATCTCAGAAATATCGACAGATACTGAAAGGCCGAAACGTAATAAATATGGTGACAAAGATGAGAACAATAGTCCGAATAATATAAATAGTGTACATAATATCTCATCTCAGAAATATAGACAGATACTGAAAGGCCGAAACGTTGTAATAAATATGGTGACAAAGATGAGAACAATAGTCCGAATAATGTAAATAATGTACATAATACCTCATCTCAGAAATATAGACAGATACTGAAATCAAACTAAACCAAAACCAAAGTAAATAGATGAACTGAAAAAATAAGAAATAAATAAAATTCTTTTGAAGAAGTTTCTTTCTAAATTAAAAAAACAAATGCCCAGTAGAAAATAAGTACAATTACTAAATTGACTAGGGTAGCCTACCTAATGTCTGAGATTTTTATTTTCTTATTGGTGCAGCATAAACTTTATACTTCTATTTGGACTAAGATAAGTAAATAGTTGTAGTCATAAAGAAGGAACTACCTATATTATAATATAAGATATAATATGTTTCTATTTATCAGTTTCACAACCTGTTCTTAATACTTGCTAATGACATATTTCATTGTTATGGTAATAAGAGTCATTACT